TCTAGCCCGTGCCGCGTGTAGCCGCGCGGCACGGGGTTCGAACAAGCCGGCATTTAAAAATGGCGCCGGCCGGCTTATGCAAATGAAGCCCGGGAAATTCAAATCCCGGGCTTCATTTGCACGTTCGGTATGCATACATTACCCCGCTAGTGCGAACTAGCGGGGTAGTGTAGACATACCCATAGAGACCATTACGCAAAGAAGAGTCAAAGCTTTCCAAAATGATGGAAGAATTGCAAGAGGCACTCAGCCTTCTGATTTGAAAAGCACATTCCCTCTGCGTACAGTGGAGCTAAGGTATGAAGGAGGGAGATGGGAGGGTTTGGGCACAAAGAACAGGAATTCAGTTTTGGCCAGGCTAAATTTAAATTGCTTGCAACACAGAAGGCAAAATGGGGATTAAACAGCCCAGTCAAGGAAATTATTTGTCTTGCTGCTTTAGTACCTGCTCTCTACGTTTAAAAGTTTCCATAAGACTTTACTGAAGCAAACCTACAAGATTTGAAGTTTCTAATGAGAAAGAGGCTTGCTTAGGTAACAGGTTTTCCTGTGCTCCAAGGCAGTCATGTTTGTTTTTCACAGGAACAATGCAATTCAGCTACACCATACTAACACAGCTGCATCTCTATCACTATTCTTTGTGGCTGGAAAGAGCTTCCCTTTTTAAAATTTAATTATTTGATGACTGTTGCCAATAGTGACATTCACCTCTGTAGACTTTTGACTCCCACTGTACTTTTGCTCTAGAAACATTTGTGTTTTCCTATCAAACATCTTATAAAGAAAGGTGAGTTTAGCTGAGATGGTTGATATTATTTTATTTGACCCTGTTATAATTAGTCAGGGACTGAAACTCTTATGGTGAAAGCTAGATTCGGAAGCACCTGATTAACATTTTCAGTGATAAACAATTTAAGAATTTTCCTTCCAGCATCCCCAATGAGACTGTTCCTTTGACCCTAATCCCATTTGGTACATAATTATTTCAGTCCTTCCTGGCAGAGTAAATATTTTTTTTCCATAAAATATTTATTGCTGTTCAGCAAAGGGGAAGAAATTATATTAGTCCCTATCATGGCAGGGAACTCTCTGTCCAAGGCTCTGGCACAGTAAGGGCTAAATTTTCTTATTCTCTGCACAATGCTTAAATCACCAAACTCACAGATTCAGCATAAAAATAAATCCTCAACCAAGAGCCACTTCATCTCCCTCTCCTTTTAGACCCGATGGCGTGAGTCTAGTGGCATTTCTCTCAGATTCACTTGGAAGGAAACATGGGACTTGTTGTTGGCCCAAGGAACTGAGTTATGGGATTCTAAATGTAAGTGAACTTTCCTCTTGTTCCAATATCTGGAATATATCGGTATGATAAAAGCGACTTCCTGTGCCAAAGGCTTAGCCGTCTCCACAGGTTGTTTTATATACAATGGAAAACGAAGTATGACACATAATCACTGCTATTATGAATGTCTTGTTTTAGTCCTGACCCAACTGCCATTGAAGTCAATGGCACAACATCCCATTGATTTTAATGGAAAGTTGGATTGAGTCCTTTGGATTCGGCTGCCTATAGTGCAGCTGTAAATTATTCTGCTTAAATGTTAATTTTAATTCTTCAGCATTAAATAGGGGCTCTTTTCCCCTGAAACTTCCATAACCAGTTAATTTGTTCTTTGAAAAATTAGCTGCTACATCAAATGCTAAATTTGATGTCTGACAGTTATGAGGGAACTAATTTAACAGGTTTCCCTTTACTTTTCATAAAAATTCTGCTCAAATAAATTGGCTTCATTTTAGGTACCAGAGATAAAGGAATACCACACGCTTCTCTAGCCTTCTTTTGTATCTTCAGTTCATATTGACCTTTTATTTCTTGCATTTCCCAAAAAGCTGGCATTTTGCAGTTATTTGATTGTGATCGCCTGTACTTTCACAATTCTGTTTAGTCAGATCGATTCATCTTTTGATGTCAAGTAGTGAGACTTTAATACATTGCGCATGTAGTGAGGTCAACATTCCATGCATCCCCCTTATAGACAGAGGTGCCTCTGCAGCACCCTGCTAACAATTTCTTCCGCACAGGGATTATTAAAACAAGCCCTCTGATTTATTTTCTTGTCCGTACACCACCATTCTTGGAGATCTGAGTTGATTCACATCAATAAAACTCAAGGTGTCAAAACACAGGCCATTGGTTTTAACCTCTTGTCAGGCCACTCCCAGCTTTTTCTGCCTGTCGTCTCATGCCCCATGTCTTCCTGCTGCACCTGCTCACTCTCAACAGTTTCCAACTCACACTACTTCCAGGCCTTCCTGGTTGGGGCCTTTTTTGCTTTGGTGGCCCATTCCCAGGCCCTACCTGGCTAGTTCCTCAGGCTTCCAGCTCTGGCTTCTAAACTCTTTGGCATCAGGATCTTCCCTGTAGAAGTCCTTACTTCCTGCAATTTCCTTTACTTCCCTCTTCTCTGCTATCTTTTATAGAGAGTTACCTGAGCCAACCCAGATGTGCCTCTTTAGTAATCAGGATTGACTTAGCTCCAGACCCTGTCCACCTTGTAACAGCACTGTTTATAGTGGTAGCTCTATTTAAATTCAATAAGTTTGATTTAAGACACTGATGTTACAGCCCTAGCTGAGGACCCATTTGTGGGCTCTCACTAGGCTGCTATTCTGAAGCCAAACTTTTAATTTTTCAGGAGTTTTAAAGCTTATTGAGTCTGACCAATGTTCAGACACAGCCTCTATGTCTGGATTTTCAGGAACACTCCTGGGATGCAGACGCTAATGCTGGTACTCCGCTCTTGGAACATAGGGCTCCATCGCCCAACTAACCCATGACCCGAGGTCACGGTGAACTTCCCCAATCTCTGCTGTAGTTCTCACACATTTCCTCCAAATCGCCACCCTTGTGAGGACTCTGGATTTCTGCTCCGCCTTTCAGGGAGATGGTGATGTTACACAGTCTTTGCCAAAACAAAAAACAGGACTATGTAGCACTTTAAAGACTAACAAGATGGTTTATTAGGTGATGAGCTTTCGTGGGCCAGACCCACTTCCTTAGATCAAATAGTGGAAGAAAATTGTCACAACCATATATACCAAAGGATACAATTAAAAAAAATGAACACATATGAAAAGGACAAATCAAATTTCAGAACAGAAGGGAGATGGGGGGGGGGAGTAAATGTTTGTGAGCTAATGATATTAGAGGTGATAATTGGGGA